GGTCAGAGACCCTCAGCTGTACTTGTTCTTACTGGTTGTTTTATTTATTTGTATATTTGCTCTAGTATTAGTGGTGATAGGTCCTTTGCAGGGTCAGTCAGTTTATTTTTTATCTCTTGCTACTGTGGCACGCTCTGTGCCCAGTTCCTATTCCAGATGCATTCTTAGTGCAAAGTCTTAACATGGTCAATAAAGCCATTATCATGCTCCTTTGAAAGAATAAGTTGGATTGTCAGCTAACAATTAAGAGATAGCTAGTCCCCCTCTCTATCTGACTTGGTTATTCAGTAACCAGTATCTGGTAGAGGGAGGTGGGATTCTAAGAAGTGCCACCTCTTGTCAACAGATTTAGAGGGTAATGAGGCAGCAAGCCCCACCTGGAACTACCTGCGAGCCTTGCACCTCATCACCCTTGGCCCTTGACCTGCTTGCCCAGCCTGGTCCTACACTGGGATTGCCATCCCTCTACTCACAGTTGTGCATACCTTTTACCCTGCTCCCCTTCTGGGGCCCCTTGATTCTCAAGGGAAGGGCTTGTGAAGAGAAGTGAAACCTCCCAGGTCCCACCCACAGCAGGAGAGCGTCAGCTCTCTGGCCTGCAAATTGAGTGTGTGTTCATAAGCTTGACTCAGTTTAACCCAGCCCTTAATCTGACCTATGTCCTCAGGCCCCTTTGAATGATGATACCTGAGCCTTTTCTTGAGAACACCCTGACAAGTTTGCATGGAAAGAGCATCAGACTAGGAGAAGGCCTGCCCCTCCATGCACTGTGCCCGTGTGGTGTGACGTTGAGCTCAACCCCTCCATCCATCTGGAGTCCAGGCTGGAAGTCCCAGAGGAATCCAATGCCAGGCTTAGCATCACACAGCACAGCTAAGGACCCCTGGATCCAGGAATCACGACTCTCCTGCTCACTTTGGGGATCAAGTTTTCTTTTTGGGGGGTGGGGTGTATTGGGGATTGAGCTCAGGGGCACTTGACCACTGAGCCACATCCCCAGCCCTATTTTGTATTTTATTTAGAGACAGGGTCTCACTGAGTTGCTTAGCACTTTGCTATTGCTAAGGCTGGCTTTGAACTGTCTCCTGCCTCAGCCTCCCAAGCCATAGGGATTACAGGTGTGTGCCACTCTGCTCATTGGAGATCAGGTTTTCTAGGAATTTGGGTGTAGGTCAAGCAGGTCTCTCAAGGAGGAGAGGGCTGGAAAATCACAGCATGCCAGTGTAGACCCTGCTGATCCTCCTGTCTGCCTCTGAGGGAAAGTGGGAAGGCCTCAGCAGGTCAGAGTCACTTCTTTGTACCATTGCAGGCTCTCCATAGGCACTCCATCCACCCCAGACAAGGTGAGGGTGCTATTGGCTTCAGATATTTGTGTTCATGGGGACCCAGGTATGCCTCCTTTAGAGGTGGGGGAAGGGGCTGGAATCCAGGTTCTAGAAATCACAGTCTAGAAGAGTTTGGTACCAGTGACAGAGCAGCAAGGCCTGTCTCTGTCCTCCAGCTCTTCTTCCTCATCTGTTAAGTCTGAAGCAATACCAACTTCTATTTTTAAATGCCTACTGGGTGTTAGGAATGTGATAAAACCTGTCAGTAACTCTAACCTGTCGGTAGCTCTGCGAGAAAGGTGATAAACTGCTTTTTAGAGGAGTGAAAAGGTTTAAGGAATGAATCCAGCTTTTGCCTGATTTATAAGTCCTTGCTGTTTTCTCTTATAGACATCAGCTCCTTGAAATACACACCTAGGGGGGCCCAAGATGCTGCTGTGTCCCCTGGGATAGTTGGCAGGTAGAAAAAACACAGGGAACAGACCCTGCACTGAGGAAAGCTAGCTGGGGCTTCCCCCAGAATCAACAGGATAGAAGCCTGGGTGTTCCTAGGACTTCACCTGGCTCCTGTCCAGAGCACCCTGACCTAGGTGTCCCTCAGTGGCTTTCTATCCTCAAGAAATAGCCCAAACTCCGTTGGTTGGCACCCAAGGCCCTGCTTGGTCTTGGCTCTGCCTCCTTCCAGCCACTTCGTCTATATTTGGCTCAGTCCCACCTTACAGATATCCGGAGCCATGCAAAGTTCCCTAAACAGGTAGTGTTATTTCACGCCTCAGTGCCTTTGCACAAACTGCTTCCTCTCCCTGGCATATCTTTCTGCCCAGCCATGATTGACTTGGCCTCTTCCTGCTTTTTTTTTTTTGAAGATACAACTGAAGCCTCACCACTGGAATCTCTTTCTGAAAGACACTGCTCCCATTCTGTTGGGCCCGGTGTCCCTCCTCTATGCTCCAGTGTCAGGCAGGACTTCTTTATTTTATAGCACAGTCACACTGACTTTGTCTATCCTGCACTCACATGTGAGTTCCAGCAGGGCAAAGATCCTTCTTATGATTCCTCCTGCTATTTCCAGATCCTTAGGCTGACACCTGGGACATGGAAGGCACATGGGTCGGCAGAAAAGCAGTCTTGTTTCTGCCAAGAGAATCAGGATGTTAGAAATGGACATGAATATGTCTGTCCTCTGGAACAGTTATCCTACCTGGAGTTGGAAAGCACAAGGATTCTGGAGGAAAGGGACATGGAGCAGATGAGGAGGTATAGCTGGGACCATAACTAGGAGAAAGTCAAGGAGGGTAGGCTGAGGTTGTTGGTGGGCAGCTCCTGGCATGTGGGAGTGAAGCAGTATGGTATTATTGGGGAGTGGGGGTGGGAACGGAAGGGTTGCTGCTAGCCAGGCTATCCCTTTGGGCCCTCTTTGTTTCTGCTCAGCTCCTGAGAGGGCTGGGTGTGCCTGCTGAAGTGTAGCCTGGCCTCCTGGCTACATCAGGCTCCATAGCTGGCAAAGACCCCATTGCCTGGCTTTTCAGGGGCCCCAGTGGGAAGGTCCTGGAGGTCTTTCAGATCCAGAAAGGATCTGATCTGTCACTATTGTGATAGTGACAGAGACCTAGAGATGAGCATAGGAGGATATTGTGTTCACTTGTCTTGTGAGATGGATGGGGTTGATACTATATTCCGGTACAACTGAGGAGTGAAGCAGAGGCAGAAAATGTTTACCCAATAAATGAGTGACAGGTGTCTCTGTCTTTCCAACTTTTCCCTGAATGAGGCAGCATCCCAGGCAAGGGCAGCATTGGTGTTCTCTAGGTGAAGTTTCCTTGCACCTACTTCCTTGTTTGTAGAAGGTCAACTAGACACCCTGTCCAAATTCTCTCAGAAAATTGACCTCAGCTTCTAGAAATCCCCAAACTAGGAGTTGTGTGCCATATGGCAACCAGTAGAACCAGAAAACTTTTCTGCCACTAAACTGCTAATGTCAGTCACCAGACAGGCACTTGGAATAGAATTCAAGCCTCTAGAAGACTCCTGTGATCCATTCAGGTGTCTTTGGGCAGTGAAATCCAGACTACATAGTTGGAATTGCATTTTTGATGGAATGGAAAGACACTGAAAAATTTTATGCAAAGTAATGGAGAAGGCCATGTGTAACTTCATTCTCTTAAGCAGAAAAACTTAAAATGGACAGAATGGAGACAGAGACCCTCTTAAGAAGTGCAAATCCAGGGGTAAAGTGAGAAGGGAACTGATAGCCCAACCCAAATTTGGGCTTTGCTGCAATACTCTATTTCACAAGTGAGAGCCTGCACTGCTTCATGACATGTTTGAGGGAAGTGAGTTTGGGGTTTGGGTGTAGATTCCCAGAGAGGACAGAGTGAGCATCTAGTATCTACTCTTAGATTCATGGAACTAAGGGATACAAAGATTTCCAGAGCCCTCTTACACACTTCTCATGAGATGTTTAATTGATGAGCCAAAGAACTGGGTCTTCCTAATGCCTGGATATTTCTCTCAGGCTGGGGGAACCATTTTTTTAAGGTACATTGTAAGCATCCACAGTACCACTGAGCTGCATCCCAACCCCCATTCTGAGGTCTATTTTCCACTTTCTTTCTGGTTCTCAGCAGCTGCTGACTTGGCTCAGCTGATGGCCTGCTGTCAAAGCAGACAGTGACTCAGGCAGGCACTGCAGGCTCTTCCTTCCCCAGACCCTTGGGAGAGGAAAAAGGCCTAGGCTGCAGTGGAAATTTTGATTGGTGTCTGACTGGGACTGTTCTTTCCATCCCAGGCCAGTGGATGAGATGCAAGGCAGGAGGTGGGAGAGGGCACATGGGATGTGTGTGCCACAGAGGGAAAGAATGATCTTTCTGTCCAGTGGAATTGACCAGCCTGAGACTATGAAGGAGAAGACTTGGGTTCTGTCACCAGCTGCCCCAGCTGACTCATCTCCAACTGAGGCCTGGACTGTCTGCTGTGTTCCAAGCTCAAGGCGACTATTGACCTCACTTTGAAGACAGACCCTCCTTCCTCTGCAGTTCCCTCCCACTCCTATGTTTCTGACATTTAAAAACCATCCCAGCTGGGTGTGGTGGAGCACACCTATAATCCCAGTGGCTCCAGATGCTGAGAGATCATGATTTCAAAGCAAACCTCAGTAATTTAGTGAGGCCCTGAGCAACTCAGTGAGACCCTGTCTTTAAATAAAATACAAAAAAAGAACTGGGAATGTGGCTCAGTGATTAAGCGCCCTTGGGTTCAATCCCCAATAAAAGCAAAAACAAAACCATCCCAGATCCCTGCCACCATCCCTGTGGCTCATACAGACACCCAGAAGCCCTTGCCTAGATTAGGCCACAGAGAAACAAAGGGGCTGGAAAGTAACAGGAGCAGGGGAGGTGCTTCCCTTTAAGGTGTGGGTGACTGGCCAGTCTATTAGAAACCTCAGGATTCTATTAGAAACCAGGGAGATAATGCTCCCAGCAATCTGTCCTCTGCCCGGCTGTTCTGAGCCTCCCCCTGGCCTCTGCCCCTGAGAATTTGTGTCTAAAAGGGAACCTGGAGATAAAGAGTAAGTGGGGCTTAGGCCTTGGGGCTACCAGAGCAGGCACAGGCTGGAGGCAGCTCCCAGCTGGGGTTTGGCTTCCTGCTGACCCAGATGCCTGGCTTCTTCTGCAGGTTCCGTGGCTTCACCCTGCTGCTCACCTTCCTCATTTATACCTGTTATCACATGTCCAGGAAGCCAATCAGCATTGTCAAGGTGAGGCTGAGTAGTAATGGAGAATGCAGGACATGTTGGGGCCAGCAGATGTGCACTTTAATGGAGTGGTCTTGTCCTCAGGCCATTACCTGCCTCTTTCCCTTTCCCTGGTCACAGAGACCACTCCTTCCCCCCTGGCAGATACTCAAAGTTAGTAGCTCTTTTTTTTTTTCCCCCTCAGGAATATTTCCCTATGTGCTTCTTTTGAGTTTGTTCAGTGTTGGGGGTATGGATGGGATGAGAAGGCAGGGATCCTGGGCTCTATTTGTCCTGCTTACCAGTCTGAGATAGCCACCTTTCCCTATATTCAGTCACTGTTAAGGAAGGTGCGGGCAGAAGGGAACAAGGAATCTGGGGGAGCGGGGAAAGGCAGTGGTGCTGGTGTGTTGGGGTAGGAGGTCCTTCTCTTCTCTGGGCTGAGTGGGGTCTGGGATGATGAGATGACCCCTGACCTATGCAAATCATTGCCTCCCCAGAGCCGTCTGCACCAGAACTGCTCAGAGCTGATCAAACCCATCAATGATACCCACAGTTTAAATGATACCTCGTGGTGCAGCTGGAGTCCATTTGGTAAAAACATGTTGCTCTTCTCCACTCCTGTTCCCTTTTCCTCAAGAAGGGGCTACCCAGAGCCAAAAAGGGCTTCCAAGTGGCAGGGGAAGCTAAGCAGTCAACTTTCTGTCTCTTCTGTCTGCTTTCAGATAAAGATGACTACAAGGAATTACTGGGGGCTGTGGATAATGCCTTCCTTGTGGCCTATGCCATCGGCATGTTTATCAGGTAAAGAGGGGCAGAGCCTGTGCCCATCTAGAGTGGAATGGTTCAGAACTGCAGCCTCCCCTTGTCTAATCTGGGGGCATCAGGCTGAAGGGTGAAAGCTGTTTGCTCCCTAGGTAGGAGTGAGGCCAAGACTTGTGCATAAACCATCAGCCTCCTTTCCTCACTGTGGCCTCCAAGACTGCTCCTTTACCTGGTGGACTCCCACTGTTAGCTGCCCTTTTTCCTGGAAGATTTTCAAGATGCCCCTTTTGAGTTGACTTAGCATTTGTGGGTGTGAAGCAGGGTCCCTCTAAAGATGGCCCTAGATGTGGAGATACCAGGAAGCTCCTATCCTGTGCTGTGTCTAAGGTTAGCCCAGCAAGCATGAATCTGGCAAAACCAGTTTGGAGCTCACTGATAGGAATCACAGATGAATAAGGCAGGGTCCTGCCTTCAAAGAGCTCACAGCCTAATGGGGCGACCCAGGCATCATCTGCTAATTACAAAATGGCAAGGTGGCTCTAGGATAGAGAAGGCCATCAGGTGCTCTGGAGTTCAGAATACTTACAGAGTTCAAGCAGGGGGATTGGAGAAGATGGGGTTGTGGAATGCTTCTTGGAGGATATGAGCCTTGAACTGGTAAAGAGGTCATGGGCCTGGTAGCAGAGAAGGGGATCTAGTCAGAAAGCACAGCATGAGCAAAATAAGGCAAGTGAGGAAACAGGTTTTCCAGAGAGGAGATTCCAAGGAAGTAACATAAGATGGAACTAAAGGATGAGGTCATGTGCCAAAGGCCTGTGTGTCAGGTTGTGAGGAGAGAAAGTGATTGAGGGTTTTTACCCCAAGTTTGTTTCAGGATAGATCAATCTGAGGGAGAAGTGAGGGAGAGCAAGATAGGTCATACCAAGGGGAGGCTTTTGCTTTTTTTTTTTTTGGTATAAGGGATTGAACCCAGGGGATATACTTAACCACTGAACCACATCCTCAGTGCATTTTTAATTTTTTATTTTGAGACAGGGTCTCACTAAGTTGCTTAGGGCCTCATTAAGTTGCTGAGGCTGGCTTTGAACTCATGATCCTCCTGGCTCAGTCTCCTGAGCCACTGGGATTACAGGCATGTGCCACTGTGCCCAGCCCAGAAAAAGCTTTTACAACAGACCAAGCTGCTGAGTGTGAGTTCCTACTGTGGTAATGAAGATGGAAGAGTCAGCACACTGCAGAATAATTTAAGAAGCAGAAAGCAGCTGTGCATGCAGCTCAGTGACAGAGCATATACTTAGCATGTGCAAGGCCCTGGGTTCAATCTCTAGCACTGCAAACATTAAAAAGGTAGAATGGTGGGCCTCAGAGACTGAATGTGAGAGGTGGGAAGTGAGGAGAGGCAGAACCTCCTGTGGCTCCCTGGTCTGTCTTGAGCAGCCAGGTGGGTTGGTGGTGCACTTCTCTCAGATCAGAGATCAGGCCAAGGACCTGAGTGGTGAAAGGAGGAAGAGGAATTCAGTTCAAGTGTAGAATTTCTAATGTTTTGGGGACATCCAAGTAAAGATGTCCAGAAGGTGTCTGGATATGATCCTATAACTCTGAGGACCAGATCAGGACTGAAGATACACAGCTGGAACTATTGAGCATATAGGTGAGAGTTAAAACGTAAAAGTGATGCAAGAGATTGCTCCCACAGGGAAATCATTGACAAGGAATGGCCAGCCACAGGGGAAGGAGATGAGCAACAGTGCCTTCACTGTATGGCCAGCAGTGTCAAATAAAGCAGAAGGAGTTGACTGGGTATTTGGCACATGCCTGTAATCCCAGCTACTTGAGATGGCTGAAGCAAGAGGATTGTAAATTCAAGGCTAGCCTTTTTTATTTTATCTCAAAATAAAATAAAATAGGACTGGGGATGTAGCTCAGTGAGAGAGCACACTGGGTTCAATTCCCCATATTGGGGGGGAAAAAAAAGGCAGGAGTCCAGGAAGTGGGGGCTGAGGTCAGCCTTGACATGTGACAGCACAGAGGTCATTGGTGTAAACTTTCAGTGGCTTGGGGTTAGGGGAGAAATGAAGTGGTAGTGGACATAAAGGATATTGACCATAAATCTAACTACTTCTTCTCCAGTGGAATTTTTGGGGAGCGGCTCCCCCTCCGTTATTACCTTTCAGCTGGAATGCTGCTCAGTGGCCTTTTCACCTCCCTCTTTGGCCTGGGATATTTCTGGAATATCCATGTACTCTGGTACTTTGTGCTCATCCAGGTACGAATCTCCATCTTGTCCTTGGGTCTTTATTCCAATCACTAAAAGGACCCCAGAGGCCACTGTCCTTCCCATCTGTCCCCAGGTCACAACAGATGGAGACCTGGACTCCCTGCTCCCAGTTCAGTTCCCTCCATCACACTGTACACCCAACAGCCATGAATTATTAGCTCAGTAAATCTGCCCTGAACACAGCACTGAGATCCCTTCAGAAGGCATGAGAGGCTTGGTCTCTGCTAAGTCTTGAGCTAGAGGAGAAATCAGCTCATGACATTGGGGTGTGGGTGGACAGGCTTGTGAGGGAAGGGCAAGGTTTGTAGTGTAGGGTGTGGAGGGCCCCTCAGCGTCACATTGAACTTCCTCCACCCAGGGCAGTGGAGCATGGCCCAGGCTTGTTCTCACCCTCCATCCTCTCTCCCTACAGATCTGTAATGGACTTGTCCAGACCACAGGCTGGCCCTCAGTGGTGGCTTGTGTCGGCAACTGGTTCGGGAAAGGGAAGTGAGTATGACGAAGGAGGAGGGTGGGAAGGACCTTGAGGGCTGGGACTACTGAGATGATTACTCACGGCCCTCTGGTGTAAACTCAGGGGAAAGAGTAGAGAGTGCCTCCTCCAGTTGGTTGATGTCCACAGGCTGAGACACAAATGTTTTCATGGGAGCAGTGCTATTTTTGTCGTCCATGAGGATTTAACCCATAGTTAAGGCAACCTTAGTTATACTTTTTCTCAAAAAGAATGAATTTCCATTTTGAAAGAAGACACAAAGAGGCCTTTAAAATTGGTTTTGCTATCTTGAAAAAAAAGAAGAAAGAAAAAGAAAAAGTTGCCTTTGAGCAAGATTTCTCACCCTCAGAGCTATTGATATTTTGGTCATTGGGTGCTTATTAGACAGTGCTTAGTGCATGCTTGGCAACTTCCCACTAGGTACCAGGAGCACACCCTGAATTATGACACCCTCAAATTTCTAGATGTTACCAGAAGGGGGGGCACAATTGCTCCCCAGTTGAGGACCTCTGCTTTAGAGTAAGATTATGGTGCAGCAAAAGGGAAGAAAGAGTTGGGGCTCCACACTGTCTGTGTGGTGAGAGCTCTCACCTGTGCTTGCTCAGGGTGCTGGCAAAGAGGGGTGGAGCCCAGACCAGTTGCCTGCTTGGCGATAGCCCAGCCCTCCCCCTCCTCACTGACTGTGTCTCTGGGGTTTTGCAAGTCTAGGAAGCTTGGGCACCTCCTAGAGGCTGTGGGCAGCCAGACTTACAATCTTGGCCAGGGTCATTACTTTCTCTACACTTCTTCCCTTTCCTTCCCTCCCCTGCAGGCGGGGGTTCATCATGGGCATCTGGAATTCCCATACATCTGTGGGCAACATCCTGGGCTCCCTGATCGCCGGCATCTGGGTGAACCAAGAGTGGGGTCTGTCATTTATTGTTCCTGGTGTCATCACAGCTATCATGGGCATTATCACCTTCCTCTTCCTCATTGAATGTGAGTGGACCCCACAGACCCCACTAGTGAGCCTCCCAGTTCTCTGTTTCTGGGAGAAGGCAGTCAATACACTGGAAAGATTGCTGGGCATGGGTTGGAGGATCAGCTGTGTGTTGCTGAGACTCAGTTTTCTCATTTGCAAAATAATAATAATATCTACTCCCTGGAATGTCTGAAGGATTAAAGAAGTTACAATGTAGTTAAAACGTCTGCTTTTTCTGGGCATAGTGGTGTATGCCTGTAATCCCAGCAATTTGGGAGGCTGAGAATCACAAGTTCAAGGTCAGTCTCAGCAATTTACTGAAATCCTCAGCAATTTAGCAAGACCCTGTCTCAAAATAATTAAAAAGGGTTGAGGATGTAGCTTGGTGCTAAAGTGCCCCTGCGTTCAATACCCACTACCACACACAAAAAGAGCTTGGCCTGTAGCAGCCCAGTCAACACTGGTTGGCTCTGAGGGGTGTGGGAAGGGGCAGGTGTGGTTGAAGGGCCATGCTCACAGAACCTAGTCTCTTTCATTTGGTACATTTGACTGTTGTCTTCCCCAGTTTCTTTTCTTTTTTTTGAGAGGGGAAGGGGAGGTACAAGGGATTGAACCCAGGGGCAATTGACCACTGAACCCCATCCCCAGCCCTATTTTGTATTTTATTTAGAGACAGGGTCTCACTGAGTTGTTTAGCATCTCACTTTTGCTGAGGCTGGCTTTGAACTCACCATCCTCCTGCCTCAGTCTCCTAAGCCACTGGGGTTACAAATTTGTACCACTGTGCCTGGTGTTTTCCCCATTTTCTGACATCTTGTGAGGCCTTGTGAGTTGGCAAGACTGGGTTTATAGCCACTTTGTAGTCCAAGAGGCAGTAGTGACATGGTAATTAGGAGAGCCAGGCCTAGAAAACTGGCCTCCTGAACCCCAGTGCCCATTCCGTCATGGAGGGGAGACCACACAGGAGATGGTATAGCCAGCTTCCTGTACCAGCTGTAAAGTGAAAGCTGGCCTGTAGGAAGCTTCTTAGAAGATTTTTTTTTCCAGACCCAGAAGATGTGGACTGTGCCCCTCCACAGCACCACGTGAGTGTGACCCCTCCCAGCTCTATCCCTGCCTTCCCTCCCCATGATCCGGGCTGGACCAAGGAAGATCTGGGAGTTGGAGGAGGGAGTTGTGCCCCTCCCCCTCTGCCATTGACTTCACAGACCCAGTATTAGGCCATTGGACTAACTGGCTAAAAATCCAGTGGGCCTGGCAGAGTCAGTCCTATCCAAGAAAGAGATGCACACCTCCTCCTGTTCACCTGGGCCACGCTCTAGCTGGGTAAGGGGGTATATGGATCAGCTTGCAGTGAGGGCTCTTCTCTTCTGCACAGGATGGGTCAGACAAGGACCAGGACAACCCTGAGGACCCTGAAAACAGTCCCTACACTAATAGGGAGAGCAGCCAGGAGACCATGACCAGCTGCTCCAAGGAGCCATGCGCTGAGCCTGTGGCCATCAGCTTCCTGGGGGCACTCAAAATCCCGGTGAGAAGTTTGTGGAATGAAGGGAGAGAGGGATTTTCTAGATTTTTCCACTGGATATCAGAATATCGGATGGGGGATGACTAATGATTTCCAGAATTTCCTTATGAGAGAGGTGGAGGGGCAGTAGTGGGCTTGGGGAGGGTGGTCTGGGAGACTTGACACAGCATGGAGCAGCAGGCGTGTTGCTTCCTTTGGGATTAGGTGTGGGTGTGAGTTTGTTTTGTGGAAGGTGATAAACAGTCCCAGGGTAGTGCTGAGCCACCACCAGATGGAGGATCTCTTGGACCCTATTCCATTGTGACCTTCTTTATGCTCCCCAGGGTGTGATCGAGTTCTCTTTCTGTCTGCTCTTCGCCAAGCTGGTCAGTTACACCTTCCTCTACTGGCTGCCACTTTACATCTTCAATGTGGGTAAGTCCAAGGGACAGAAGGGCTAAGAGCAAGAGATCTCCAAGGAGAGCAAGGCTACTTCTGGTGGGGGAGGAAGCCACTGCGGCACTGTGTGAGACTCCAGTGTGCTGAGCTTCAACTAGGGCATGAGGAGATTTATTTAATTTTTTGTTTAAGTGGGAAGCTCTGTACATTATACCTAGACCCTGAGTCCAGCTGAGTTCACCCTGACTCCAAAGATCTGTTCTACCATCCTCCCTTGTCTTCTTCAGCCTGAGAGTAAGAAAAACACCCCACTCCAGGCTGCTTGGCTCACAGGTGGGTGGAGCTGGGTGCTGGAAAGGTCTACCATGAGTGCTTCCCCAGCCCAAAGAAGAGGCCTGCTGCTGGCAGTAACCACAGGGCCCTTCTTCTTCTTCTTCTTTTTTTTTAGTTTTGATGGGCCTTTATTTTGTTTATTTATTTATATTCGGAGCTGAGAATTGAACCCAGTGCCTCACACATGCCAGACAAGCACTCTACCACTGAGCCACAACCTGGCCCCAAGGGCCCTTCTTCTATGGGTTTTATGCCTTTGTATTGAGTTTTGCTGGTCTGCTTTTGGGGAGCTGCCCCACGTCATGGGATACTTTTCCCTTCCCCTGCTCAGGGATGTACAGATGAAGAGAGATCACTTGTGATATTGAAAAAGAGTGTTTGATATCCCCTTGACCTGGGCCTCTGCTTTTCCTTGAGCGGGGGTCTCTATCTAGCATGCTTCACCTTCCCAGACCCTGGGAGCCTCAAAACTCTACCTCTCACTCAGGACCTCTCACCCAAGGCTGCTCGACTCCCTCAGCCCTGGGGAGGGACGATGTTGCCCACAAATGTTGCCACATTTGTGCTTGCTCTGAATAGGAGTCCTTGTGGATTAGTCATGGCCAGATCTCAAGCTGCGTCTTGCCCTTTAGCTCTACATTAGGGGCCCCTCTTGGTAATACTGGTAGAGTTCTGGGGCAGTTTTGTGGACACTGTGACTCTTTGTTTTAAGGCCTTGGCTCTGACTTCAGAATATGAGTCAACATTGGGGGAGGGCTACAAGTCAAGCTTCTGGACATTCCTTTTTCTAAGCCTAGAACCAAGGCCTGGGCCCAAGTTCCCCATTTCCCTGCAAGTCTTCTTCTCGTTCTTTGCATTAGTAGAGCTCTAAGGTGGCTGGGAAGGGCACTTAGTGGAACCTGCTGTTAGGTCAGGAGTGGAACAGGGCGAGTGGCTGATTGGGCTGAGGCTCAGTGAGAGTGACTGCACTCCGGGGGAAAGATGGCTCTTGGGGTAGGGTTCTAAGGACCCAGATCCCAGCTTTGTGAGATAAGATCTATTCTAAGAGGTTAAAGTCATCCTCCAGGGGAGAAGGGCAGTGCAGGACTGGAAACCAGAAAGACTAAGTCCCAAACTGCTGCAAAGCCACTCTGCAGCCCTGGCAAATCACTGTGCCATGGGCTCTCAGCTGGAAGATGGGGCTGGATCAGGGCCCTGTAGGGATTATTCTGCAGCACGCAGAATGCTTGCCCTGAACCTCTGGGTGTCTGACCATGTATTTGTGTTTTCTAAAGCTCACTTTGGTGCCAAGGAGGCTGGGGACCTGTCTACGCTCTTTGATGTTGGTGGCATCATAGGTGAGGCCCTGACCTGCTCTACCAGTAGGCTTCCCTGATTCTCCTTAGGGGTAAGGAAAGAAGAAATAGGTCCAATGGGCTGTGCCTGGGCAGGTGGCTCTAGAGAACGGTCTTCTCTGCTCCTGCAGGGCTGGATAGGCCTAAGAAAGATGGCTTGTGTGGTTTCTCATAGTAATGGGTGCCAGGGAGGGATGTGGAGGGAGACGCTCTGCTGGTCCTTGATGTCAGGTGCAGGCCAAAGCTGAGTAGGGCAATGGGGGGAAGCTGGGCAGCAGGCAAGGGGATGGCATCCTCCTATCGGAGGGCAGTGTTTGAGTGGTGTGTGTTCCAGGTGGCATCATGGCAGGGCTCATCTCTGACTACACCAACGGCAGAGCCACCACTTGCTGCATCATGCTGATGTTGGCTGCCCCCATGGTGCGTATAACCTCAAGGGCCAAGTGCCTATGAGCAGATGTCACAGGCCTCTGACCTGTGTGCCCATCTCTACATTTATGCATACAGCTATCTCTTGTACATGTGAGTGTACTCCCTGTGCACACCTGGGAGGAGGAGAAGTGAGGGTCAGAAGAATAAGGACCCTGGGAAAGAGACCAGGACTGGGAATTTTGGAAAGGGATTAGTGATTATTTGACCTTGGTAGAGAAGAAGGAGACTAGCTACAAAACTTCTTGACCAAGAAAAAGGAAAGAGATTGAGGTTAAATAGGAGAGAAGGCTTTTTAGGAAAAAAGTCATGTTTTAAATCTTCCATCCCTGGGTTGCTTAAAGACCTGAGAAGTCTGGGTGTGAGAGGGAGGAGGAATAAGGTGACATCTGGTGTTCCAGATCAGGAAAGGGCTGTTCTAGCCCATCCAGGGGAACCTGGATGTGACTCTGCCTCGCTCCTCCTCTCACAGATGTTCCTGTACAATTACATTGGCCAGAATGGGATTGTCAGCTCCATAGGTGAGTGGGCAGTGCAAGTTCTGTTAGGCCACAGAAAAGTCCCTGCTTTGGGAGCCCAATGATGCTGGTGTGGGGGTATGAAGGGTAAGAGCTAGGAGGCCTGAGACCTCGAGGTGTCATCTACTTTGGGACTCACTTCTAACTGCACCATTTCTGCTGCTGTCCAGTGATGCTGATTATTTGCGGGATGCTGGTCAATGGTCCTTATGCACTTATCACCACAGCAGTCTCTGCTGATCTGGTAAGCAGGCCACCCCCAATCCAGTGCACCAAGGACCACTCTGGGGACTTGATCAGGGCTTCTCTCTCCATGGCCACTTTCCCATATCCCTTTTCCCATCTCCTTTCCTACAGGGACAAGACCCTTAAAGTCCTTGAAAACCCACCACAGATCCCTTTCCTCAACATCCAAGCCCTAGTCACTACACTCCCAAGTGAGCCTCCCCCTGTCCTGGTCCTACTCAGTGCTGCTACTTAGCTCAGTCCTTCCACTCTGCTTCTCTCCTCAGGGCACTCACAAGAGCCTGAAGGGCAATGCTAAGGCCCTCTCCACTGTCTCAGCCATCATCGATGGCACGGGCTCCATAGGTCTGTGATGTTAATTTGGCTTTTGGCAGCTGGACCAAGCCCTGTCTTGGACAGACTGCTTGTTGGATTACCCTCAGGTGGATAGGGAAGGTGTGGCCCACTTCTCATGAGGCTATGCTTTGATAGGTGCTGCTCTGGGGCCCCTGCTGGCTGGACTCATTTCCCCCACAGGCTGGAACAATGTCTTCTACATGCTCATCTCTGCTGACATCCTGGCCTGCTTGGTAAGCATTGTTGGGATACACCAAGGGGTATGAGAAGGGGTTTTTTTGTCTCCGCAGGTTGGAACCCTGTACTGGGGGTTCTAGGGCAACAAGAACAGCAGTTCTTTGATCAGAACTACTTTGCAAATGGGGGTGACTCCTTTCTCTGCTGCCAATGCATTGGTCAACTGACCCTGGGAGCTATGTACTGATGCTCACGGTGCCCCCCTTCCCTCTGTGCCTTGGACTCCCCACAGTTGCTCTGTCGGTTGGTGTACAAAGAGATCCTGGCTTGGAAGTCATCCCTGAGCAAAGGCAGAGGGTGAGTCCTCCTAACAGTGGAAGCCCCACTTCTCCCGACCTCATTCTTTAGGCAACCCACCTGGTGCTCAGTTACTCTACACCCATTCTGAGGCTAGACCAGCCCAGACCTCAAGGACGCTGAGCCAGCCCCTCTCTGAAGTGCTGTGTGAACCCCTGCCCCACCCCAGACCCACTAACCTGTCCTCTGTTGTCCCCGTGTGTCTCTGTAGCTCTAGTATGGCCCTAACCCATCCGCGATAGTATTTTCCTCAAGTCCCACAACTTTTGTGAGTATTTTCTTCAAGTCTGCGATTAATGTGCCACTAGAACATGGGCTGCATGCAAATCCTCTCCCTTCCAATGTGATTTTTTTTTCTGACTTTCTCTTTTTTCTTGGGAGCCAGGTCCAGAGATAACCTGGACAGAGCATGGTGCTTGGGAAATGTTTCCCAAGGGGTCTGAGATGCTACCGAGGATGGCAGCCTCTTCCCTGAGGGACAGCATTAGGGGCATCCTCTGGGACAGAGGGGGCAGAGATGGGAAATCATTTTCCCTCTGAACTTAGGCCTATCCACATGTGCTTCCTGAAGTTCAGAAACAAAGGTCATCTGGTCCCTCTGTCCAGGGTGTGCAGAAAAAAGCAACTACCAATCAGAGGCTCTGAAACAAAATTTGAATCAATCGTCCGTTGGTAACCTGGTGTGCTGTCTGCCTGGTGTCCGGTGGTGGTGGTTGTAGGGGTGGCAGGAATAGGTTAGTGGCTGAAGCAGGGGCTGGTCAGAGGCTGACACTGTCTGCTGGTGCTGGTGGTTGGACAACTTTCCTGTGGCCTTTTTGGCTCTCCTTCTGAGCAGGGGCCTCTTGCTCATGAGGAGCTGGTTGGAGCCTGGACCAGGGTTGGATATGAGGAAGAGCCCCCTGGGGTCATGGTAACCCACACAGTATCCTGGAAACATTTCTGGGAAACACTTCTGCTTTAGAAAGGCATCACACAAGGAGAAAAACTGAGAGCAGGAAGCAAACTACAGTTTGCAGGAAGCATTCACAGGGTTTGTCCTGCTCTGGAGGAGGGGAGCAGGGAGTTAGATAGCTTGATTTAGCTCCTTCCACCTGTATTCCTTAGGCCAGGTTTGAGGAGGGGAAAGGGGAAAGAAGGAATATTTAGTGAGCATTGCTGTGTGCCTGAAATGGAGTTGAGCTTTAGATATAGTAGCTCACCTCTCAACCATATCAAAACAGGTAGTATCATTTAGAATGAGGACCCAGTTCTGGAACAACCTAAGAAGGACCCAGAAATGTAGGGGTTTGTTTTGTGCACTGCTGCCTTTCCAAGCTAGTCCTTCTCCATGGAAGGCATGTGTGGATGTATAATAATTTACTGGAGTGGAGAGAACACTGGGCTGGGACTGTTGAATCCCTGGACAGTCCTGCATTCTCTGCTCACTCTAAGATTGTGGGTACTCCTTCAGATTTCCTGAATCCTTATGCAAAAATGGGGATGCTTATCTCTAAATACAGGCAAGGATGACCTGAGGTTGAGGCAAGATGAGATCTGTGATATTGCTCTGTAAAGCTGTCAAATGTGGCATAAACATTGTGAGGTTTTCTCCATATTATTCCCTGCTCTAGAGGTAAAAGGGAGCCCTAATTCCAGGGAACAGAGATGAAAGGCAGGAGCTTATTAAGTTGTATCTCACTTTCTCTTCCATTTTCACTTTTCTTCATACAGGTATAAAGAAATATGAAGCCTCGATTGGAAAAGAAGTGTGGAGGGTCCCTGTTGGGTCCCCAAAGCACTCCACATGGGCAAGACAATGGAAATTTCTACTGACAGGTGAGGCAAAGCCTCCTGATCCAACACCAGCCGACCTAGCCCAACCCATGAAGCTGCTAAGGGTACAGAAAATTCTCTGTGGGAAGGGACTGCCAAGCCAAGGACATAAAAGGCTCAAGGACTGAGCTCTGAGAGCTGCAAGCAGAAGGGATGGGATCAGAGCAGGAGGGAAGGACATGCAGACTACTGCTTATTCAGATTCCATGACTGAAGGCAAAGACTATAGGACCAAGGCCTGGAAAAGGTGTCTCTTCTTCGCATGTTCAATTCTCATTTCTGCAATCACCCAGTTCCTGTAGGAGTCATCTCTCCCGTTTCATAGGTGCCCAGCCTCTCTTTGTCTCTTTGTCCACAAATCAGTCTTCTCTGTGTATTTCCCCAAGTTGGGTCCTCTTATTCTACCCCCATTTGATCCTGTTGATAACTTCTTAGGCCATTTTGATTAAAGCTTATGGCTGCTCTTCCAGGGCCAAGACTATGGTAGGGCAAGAGAGCTGCCTCAGTAAGGGGGCACTTACTCTTGGGCTTGTGTGTGTGCCCGTCCTGACAGCTGAATGCCTCTTTGCCTCACCCTGGTCCTTAGCCCTTGATGATGCCTCAGTGGACAATGATATCAGTGTCAGTGTTATGGGAACTGATGGGGTGAGGCACGACTGAGAATCCTAGCATGTGTGGTACACGCTTTGAGAATGAATGCCAGTGGATACTGAGTGTGTACTACACACCAGCTCTATCATAGGAATGAAGTAGACAATGCACAGTTGAAAAGGATTCTCACCACTAGCACAAGTACCAGGTTGACAAGAAATGAGGGTGCTGCTGGTTCTTTTGAGCAGCTGCTAACATGCTGTTGCTTGGAGCTGTCAGCAGTCCCCTTCTATCCAGTGTTCTGATGTGCCTGCTTCTACACCAGGTCCTGGGTGTGACATGCCAGGCTGACTCCTGGCATTTTCGACTGACTTCTATAGCTACCCATCAGTACTAATATAGATTTCCTTTGCCAGCTGTGCTGTGCTAATCCTTGACAGGTCCTGGCCCAGCAGCAGCAAGCAGGGTTCACAGGGTTTGTTGAACTAGGGTCCCAGGAGCACACATTTGGTGTGCATTCATGGAGGGCATGCTAATGACATTGATGACTTGCGGAACATGCTGGAAGCCTCCAGCCTCATAGAAGATACAGCCATTGTATTTACTGGGATACTGGGTGGGCTGGTGCAGTACCCTGGATACACAGGTTAAAATAAGTTGTGTTTGCTACAGTGGTAACACCTAGGGGAGTTTCATGTGCTTGATACACACTTTGGCTCTGGAAGGAGTCAGTCAGAGATCTCTAAGTCTTCAGAGCCTACAGGGGCAGGACCTATGATATATGGCTTTATGTTCAGAATTTATGATTACTTCTCACAAGACCGGAAAGATTTATCTGACTTTAACACCTAGGAGGGATAGGCTTAAGGAGAAGCTGTGTTACTTTTAAGAGCCACTAGATGGTGATACAATCCTGTGGTAGAGTCCAGCGTGGGCAGGTGTTGCGGCCCTGCTTACTGGAAGGGAGAGTGCAGAGGTTTCCTTACTGGCCCTCTCTGCTGGGGATGATGGTCAGGGGAGAGGGTGTGGCTCTTCTGGAGGTCTTCTCTTCCCTACCTTCACTGTTAACTAGCATTACACCTATTTCCTTTTCTAGAAAATGGTAATAACATTCCCTACCTCATAGGAGTGGTGTGGAAAGGAGATCATGCCCTTAAGGAACTTGTCTCATCAGGGATAATATAAGGGATATGAATAGGCTTATAAATGACACAAGCCTCCCGCTGCCACTTGCAGCATTTTATCACCTCTGCTCTCATCCATCCTCTTCCCCAATCTGCTGCATAGCACTGGTGTCTGTCATAAATGGATGCCATGCTGCTCTACTAAGACTAAACTCCCACAGGACAAAGGAGTGAAGAAAGAAAATGGCAGCCCACCTGTCACGTTTCTAAGCTTGTCCCTTCCTGCCCACCTCTCACTATTTGCAGCAACTGAATCAGTTGAGCATCTGCCTGTTTAGCCAACAACTCTTAAGGCGATCTGAAGGGAGACTCCAGCACTAGGATCTCTGGGAAATGAACAAGACATATCAGCTCCTCTCAGCAGATAAGTCTGGCACTGGAGAGAAGCAAGAAACACTGTGGGGCTCAGAGCATGGCCTTGGAAATGAGGGCTTGGGCTGTGGCTGGGCAGTTGGGGAAAGCTCCAAAAGCTGGGGGTTCCACAGTGCTGAGATCTGCCCCTTGGCACTCACCATCTAGGGCCAGGCTGTCCGCCCTCCTCAGCTCTGGGCATTGGCTGTTCACTAGAGGCCTGGTACCTGCATTCTCTCTGGGCCTCTGCACTCACACGGGGCTAATGCAGGAGCATTACGTTAATTAGTTATTCATTTAATTTAACTTCACATTTGGTCTCAATTAAGCTTAAAATGTTCTTCCTCGTAGATGCTACAATAGCACTTGTAATTAAAAAGCAATAATTCTTTGCGTTTCTCCTTTAGAGATCCATTGGGAGGTTGGCTAGTGTGTGTGGGACTAGTGTTGGTGGAAGGGTATTGGGGGAGGAGGAGGTAAGAAGCAATGGAAAGAAAGGGAAAGAAGCTCTCAATAGAGCTTAGCATTATGAAGCTGCCATGAAGACTAGTAATTGGGAGGAGAAACTCAACATGCCATGGGGATCTGGGATTGAGGTGTAGAGAGTGGCTGCAGAGAACCCTAGGAAGTGGATAAAACAACAGACCTTGCACATAAGGTTGTGGGAATGAAGAGAGGGCCAATGGAGCGTAGGAGACATTCCTGATAGCTGGAAGATGGGACCATATATTCCATAGTAGGTAGATAGAATGTGTTCCCTCCCCACAAAAGATGTCTGTAACCTAATTCCCAAAACCAGTAAATATGTCACTTTACCTGACAGATGTGATAAAAATTGTGGAGGCACTACCCCACCTTGCTAGGTGGGCCCATGTAACCACAGGGCTCCTTATAAATCAGAGAGAGAAGCAGGAGTGTCAGCTGGAAGATGTTATCCTGCTGGCTTTAAAGACTGAGAAAGCATCCAATGGCCAGGGAATGTGGGCAACTTAGAGAAGCTGGAAAAGGCAGGGGAATGTATTTCCCCCTAGAGTCTCCAAAGTCTTGTCTTTAGCTCCATGAAACACATTTCTGACTTCTAACCTCCAAAACCATAATATAATAAATTTGTACTATTTTAAATCATTGAGTTTGTGATAATCTGTCACAGCTGCAGTAGGAAACTAATAAAGATTCTTTATAAAATTGAAGATGATCAATTTAAAGACAGGAAGACAAAAGAAATCCCCAGCTTTGCTGGGGTTGTGGCTCAGCGGTAGAGCGCTCGCCTAGCACATTCAGGGCCCTGGGTTCAATCCTCAGAACCACATAAAAAATAAATAAATAAAATAAAGGTATTGTGTCCAACTACAACTAAAAAAATAAATATTAAAAAGAAAAGAAATCTCCAGCTTAAAAACAAGCAGAGGGCTTGGCTATGTAACATTCACGCACAGTGTCCTTCATCTACTAGCTGCTCAGTTGTTTAGTATTTCTGAGCGAGGAGGAAGCCTCAGCATAATAGAGTGAGACATTCCCAAAATGCAAGGTTGACCAGTGAAGTTGTCTCTGAGGTCCCATGTGTCTTTTAACTGCTCTGCCCCAGACTGTTGCCCAACTCCTAAGGTTCTGGATTTTCCACCACACTCAGCTGCTTTTCCTTGGTGTTTTTATCAAGTAGATTTGCATTGCCTGACCCTGGTTCCTTTTCCTGTTCTCATTTTATGGAGCAACATAGCATAATAGGAAGGAGTTAAAAATTTAAACACTAAGTCAAACTGCCTGACTTCAAATCCTGATTCCTGGTTACTCCTGAGTGATCTTGAGCCAACTCCCTCACCAGTCTGTGCCTGTTCCCCACCTGTGAAATGGGGACATTTAAGAGGACCTACTCATAGGGCTGATACATGATGACATAAGTTAGTACTTACAATGCACTTAGAAAAATGCCTAGCACATTTACTAATCTAATAAAAAATGTGATTTCAGCATGTCAAATGCACTTATTTCCAAGATTTGGGATGGATCTAGAGATTAAAGGTTGAACTCTATGAACTATAAAATCCCTTCCAGTCCTGAATTTTTATGCTCCTATGAGGATAATCAACACTTTTCCAGATTTGTTTCCATATGGTTCTGATTCTCACATCTGGAAATTTGTTTCTATGCAACAACAGCCAAACACTTAAAGACTTAAGCCAAGGAGTTAAAATAAAATGTTTGTTATTTATACTATCAATGTTAATTAGCATTCATTAATGGAACTTTTAACCTTTGGACATGATTTAGGGAAATGGCAGGTACAGATAACTATAGTATCAACCAGTGTAAAAATAAGGAGTTGTTTGAAAGCCAAAAATGATCTTTAAAATGAGAAATGAATTGTTAGGAACCCAGTGGGAGGTTGGGCTAGTGTGTCAAGTTTGAGTGCCGCTACTAACTAGCTGCGAAACGTTTAAAATCCTTTTTCCTCTTTGCCTGTTTCTCATCTGTAAAGTAACAGCAACAGGTTCTTTACAGATTGAAAATAAAATACAAATGCTTCACTATAGCAGCAATGAAGTAGAGTGATAGCAAAGTCAATGTCTTAAAGAACAAAAAGAAATGGATTACTTTGTTAGAATTAAAACATTTAAAAATAACTGGAATACCTCCATCCTGAGATCAAGTTAGGAAAACAGCCCAAACACCTCAGAGCTGGTGCTTTGATTGAATTACTCCACCAGGACCACTACTTTATGCCCAATAGGCGTTGGATCAGTGTTGACCAATGGCAATATGTGTGGTATGTGTGAAGGAATGGTTGTGCCTAGTCCCTGAACAGCAATACAGTACTGCTCATGCAGTCTTAACATTAAATATCTGATACCCTGTATCAAAAGAGTGCTAGCTTTACTTCCATTTTTATAAGGGACAAGTTTAAGGAACTTAAGTAATTACCCAGTGTGTTTTGCTGGCTTGAGAAACTTCTAAAACATAACACACAGCGCCACCTAATGGAATGAACAAACATCTCTACTGTAAGAGCACAGTGGTGTCATGGACAATATGGAAACAAGTGCATTTGAATGCGGAAATCAGAATTTTTATTAGATTAGTAAATGTGTTAGGCATTTTTCTAAGTGCACTGTAAGTACTAACTTATGTCATCATGTATCAGCCCTATGAGTAGGTCCTCTTAAATGTCCCCATTTCACAGGTGGGGAACAGGCACAGACTGATGAGGCTCAAGATCATTCAGGGGGGCTGGGGATGTGGCTCAAGCGGTAGTGCGCTCGCCTGGCATGCGTGTGGCCCGGGTTCGATCCTCAGCACCACATACAAAGATGTTGTGTCCGAAAACTGAAAAATAAATATTAAAAAATTCTCTCTCTCTCTCTCACTCTATCTTTTTTTTTTTTTAAAAAAGATCATTCAGGAATAACCAGGAATCGGGATTTGAAGTCAGGCAGTTTGATTTAGTGTTTAAACTCTTAACTTGTCAGGATTCAATTCTGAAAGGCTATGAAATAACCTGTTTTCTCTCCCTTACCACCTTCCAAACAGTGGGGAATCACTGCAGTCTCTGGACAGAGACCAGAACAGCATAACCTGCCCTAAGGCCACTGATCAGAGACCGGTTAATGAGCACTAAAAATGATTTCTTTTCATATTTAAGGGATGAGCTCTGAGCCCTGCTTCCAGGAGGCCATGGATATAAGGGGTGCCATATGAGACACTGATGATAGGGGCACCCCAATGCTAAAGTCTGAAATTCATTGTGCGCTCTCAGCCTTCCACTTCTGGGACTAAACCTGTGGTGGTTTTTTATTTTGTTTTGTTTTTAGGGTTAGACATGAATACCTTGGGTATGCAGGGAGAAAGTAATGTATCATTCATTTCACCATAGCTGGCAATTACAGACTACAGAAGGCAGGCCTAGCTGAAATACACTTTGCACAAAGTGTGTGTGTGTGTGTGTGTGTGTGTGTGTGTGTGTGTACACACACACACACACACACACAAAGAGAAGGTGGCAAATGGAGCAGTCAATGTTCCTCTTGTGTGGGCTTGACTTTGCTGCAAACAGGCCTAGGAGTCTGCCACACCTGGGTTTGCACACTGGATGTTGTATGAAGCTCAAATGAGTCAGTTAATCTCTTTAAGCTTCAGATTTTTTTCTACTTTAAAATGGGGATGGCTGGGCATGGTAATGCATGCCTGTAATTCTAGTAACTCTGGAAGCTGAGGAGGGAGGATCACAAGTTCAAGGCCAGTCTCAGCAATTTAGTAAGAACCTGTCTTAAAATAAAATTAAAAAGAAAGAATTGGAGACGTAGCTCAGTGGTAGAACACCCCTGGATTCAAACCCCAGTACAACAACAACAACAAAAAGTGGGGGGTGATGATGACAGATTGTTGTAAAACTTAAATAAACTTCAAAGGTATTAGCAGACTACTGGCATATAACACATACCTAATCAATCTTTCCAACTTGTTCTCTTGGGTCTTCATTTTAAGCCAGAAGACCATTTTCTAAACAGATCTAGGGTGTCAGGATGACACTTCCTAAAGTGACCCTCCATTTAGGCACAAATTTTACTTGGTCAGGGAGATCAGGCACGTATAAAGTTATAATCTAATGCTGATAATATATGTTCCTGATTAGGGTTGAAGAAAGAGTTACAAAGATGGGGAGAGAGTACCACAACCTAAAATGGCCCGTTAAGATAATGTAAAAGCACACAGAGGGACCATATCCTGGAAAAGAACCTACAGATATATGGCAGGAGTACAGTCTACCAACATTTTCCTACCTGTCCTCTAATTTCCAAACAAGTTTGAAATATAAAAATACTACCTTACAGATTGAAAATAAAATACAAATGCTTCACTACATGGCTAAGAGTTTGAAGTGAAAGTCAGCCCCTTGGTGGTTGTTTATTGCTTTATTAGAGCAGAGGAAAGTAATACCCATTGCTTTTATAGGCTTCTGTGAAATTATATGCATAGGGTGGTCAATAACCAACATCTAAATTAGTCTTCCAAATTATCACATTAAAGTAACCTCTGTGTTTAAGTGCTTTTACTTTGCAAATAACTACAACTTTTTTTTCTTTTTTGGTATTGGGAACTGAACCCAGGAACACTCTATCACTGAGTTATACTCCCAGCCTTTTCTTGAAAATTTTTGAGACAGGGTCTCACTAAGTTGCTCAGGTGGGCCTCAAGCTTGCAATTCTCCTGCTTCAGCATCTTGAGTAGCTGGGATTACATGTGTCCCCACACCCAGCTATGATAATAATTTATAACTAAGAATTTCACATATTATCAAAAAGGGCTCATCCTTCCCCCCAAGTCCACTTATAAATAGCATGACTGAAAATCTACTCTAAGATTATTATTACTATTTCCCTTTCAAAACAGATGAAATTCCTAAGTGCAGGTACTAAGAAGACAGTAGCAGCCCTCCTAAAACGGTGAGAATTGATGCCCATGGGGACAATTTTGCAACCCTGTTTCTGGGAGCCAGAGCTCAAGAGATTTGTCTTAGTGATGAATGTATATTCCTCTGCCTTCAAATAGGAAGACTGTCAAAATAAGGCTCTGAAGTCCCTGTTGCTCATCAATGTCATAAAAATGGAGCAGAGGAGAACAGGGTCTTGGTTTTCCCCAACAATGCTCAATAGGACCGCAGTGGTTTGGCATAGATTGGTTCCAGGATATGATGAGTTAGAACCAAGAAGAGACCTCCAAGGAAGACAGCGCTGAGGAAAGCCAGCAGGACATAGCGCCCAATGAAAAAGGCATCCACAATCTGGAGAAAGAAAACACCAAAGTGAAATTATTACCCTTCAGCATCCTGGCTGTGTTGATCCAAACTCTATAATAAGTTCATCAGCAGTTGTTCATTCATATTTGTAACTGAGTTCCCTCTATAAATAGATCATTGGAACCAGTTATCCCAAAGAGTTAATGAGAAGTTAGCTTGGTCTAGAAAGAGTCATTTTTTTGTTGTTGTTGTTAAAACATATTTTATTATGGAGAATTTGGAACTTATATTAAAATACAATAGTATAAAATTTTGGTGTAGAGCTGGGGCTGTAGCTCAGTGGCAGAACACTTGCCTAGCACATGTTAGACACTGGGTTTGATCCTAAGTACCATATAAAAAGAAACAAATAAAACTAAGGCATTCTGTCCATCTACAACTACAAAACAAAACAAAACAAAAAAACATGGTGTATACACCATGTTTATATATATATATATATATATATATATATATATATATATATATATATGTTAAAAAACAACCTACTGCTTTCAGAGGGGTTCGTTTTCAAATAAAAAGGTGACTCTTCAAAGTTTTCATTAGATGAGTTCTGAACCCTAACATTTAGTTTCTCAGTGGAGAAGGCAAATGGTCATTTGCCTAAGGTAAAACATTAAGAAGATAAGTAACTTGCTCCATCATACATTTGGCTCCCTGGTAACCTGACATACCTGAGGCCCCAATTCTTTCTTTCTTATTCTGCTTTTCTTTTTCTTCTTTTCTTTTGTGGTACTGGGGATTGAACCAAGGGTCTCGCCAATGCTACCAGTCCTTGAGGCCCCAGTGTTCCTGGTCTTTGTTGACAAAAATCTGTAACTGCTGGGTGTGGTGGCACACACCTATAAATCCCAGCTACTCAGGAGACTGAGGCAGGAGGACTGCAAGTATGAGTGTGGACTGTCTCAAAATTTTTAAAAAGGTGGGGGCATTTGGGGCTGTAGGTGAAGTGCTTGCCTAGCACGCTGGAGGTTCTGGATTCAGTCCTCAATACTAAAAGAATAAAAATAAAATAGCTATAACCGATGTTGGCTCTATTCACTGGTGTTCTACGTACTACCAGAGCCCCAATTTTCCCAGAGCCAAATGGCGGTACTTGAATTTAGGCAGAAAAAGACCTATTTAATGTATAGATTTTATGACAGCAGTGATTGACTTCACAGAAGCCTTGAAAACTCATATCTAGGAGAGAACCCAAAATATCCAAGCAGTGATTGCCATAGGCAAAAAAAAAAAAATGGTCTGAAGATGTCCACATCCCAATCCCTAGAAGCTTTGAATATGTTAGATTACATGGCAAAGGAGAATTGAGGTTACTAACCAAATGAACTTGAAAACAGGGTTATCTGCATTACCCAGGTGGGCCCAATGTCATCACAAGGGCCCTTGAAAGTTAGAGGGGGAAGCAGGAAAGAGGGTCAGGGAAAGAGGTGTGAGGATGGAAGCAATGTCAGAGAGATGTTTACTGTTGGCTTTGAAGATAGAGGAAGAAGCTGGTGCAGTGGCACATGCCTGTATCTCAGGAGGCTGAAACAAGAGGATCACAAGTTCAAAGCCAGCCTCAGCAAAACTCAGTGAGACCTTGTCTCTAAATAAAATACAAAAAAATCAGAGCTGGAATATGGCTCAGTGGTTGATGCCCTGAGTTCAATCCCCAGGACACCCCCCCCCCCCAAAAAAAAAAAAAAAGGTAAAGGAAGGAGGCCACCAGCTAAGGGCCAGAGGAAACCTCCAGAAGCAGGAAAAGGCCAGAAAATAGACTGTCCCCTAAAATCTCTAGAAAGAAATGCAGCCCTGCTGAACCCTGGATTTTATTTAGCCCAGTGAGACTGATTTTGGACTTCTAACCTACAGAACTGTAAGATGATAAATTTATGTTGTGAGCTCCTATGGTTATAGTAACTTGTTACAGCAGCAATAGGAAACTAATACAGTGCTGATATTCAAGCACCTGTCAAAATCCAAGCTCTGGTGTGATTGCTGAGATCCAAAGACACCAAAAAGAAGAAGACTCAGACACCCCAGCTACTCCAGAGATTACCCCAACAGTCAACTTATAACAAAGGTCAGTTTGATAAAACAGCTTTAACATAACTTTGACCTTGGCTCTGTTACTGAACAAGTCTCTTGCGGGCTACATGTTTGCTCGTTCGACTGTTTCACTTTTTAATTAGCCAATTAGCAGGCCTTGGGTGCAGAAGGCCCAGGCCATGTATTATTGATACAGTATTGAGCTTGGCTGCTGCAGGGGCCAGCTCTCAAGACCTGAAAATGAGAACTCCATTCTGCTGGCTATGCTGACAAACACATTTTGCTCAAACCCCATTCTCTCCTGAGTCTGAAACTCATATGACAGAAAAGAGAGAGACTGATTTCAACAGTGTTTACTCTATTGCCTTCTTCTAATAGTCACTTCTGTAGCGACACAGAAATCTTATCACTCTCTCCTCTAAGTAAGGACACTGAGGTAAGAATTTACCCCTGGCTCACACACACAGTACTTCTACCTTCAGAGTGGTTTCCAAATGTAAACAAAAGACCTGGAATTAATGAAAATAATTCCTTGAATTTGTGTGGTAATATTCCCTTGGAGTTTTTGAAACTAATTTCCTTCCTTTTGTCAAGGTTTAATTCTATATAAGATTGGAAGTATGTGTTCACTATAGTCCAAAAGTCTGTGTACTGTTGTTTAGTATCAAATTGGTAACCTGTGTATTCTCTGGGCTGGCCCCTGATATTCTGCTGAATCCCAACAATGAAGATTTTGAAGGTAGACCTCAGCTTGAATCTTTGCTCTGCTTCTTAATGTATATGTATGAATTTGGGCAAGTTACCTTAACCTCTACAGCTCCTGTGTCCTCACCTATAAAATGAGGACAGTAATAGTACCTACTTTGTACTAGTTAGGTTGGCCTGAAGTTTAAATGAGACAGTATAAACATGCTTACATAGGACCTAGCACACAGTAATCCTTTAATAAATGTTAGCTATTATCATCATTACTGTTTAAAAATTAAAATAGAGGTTGAGAAAAAAGAAGCTATTAGAAGAAGCAATGAAACAAATGAAGTCAATAACCTTATCAGGTTCCTATGGGGTTTGAGACCAGTTGTGCATGGTTAAACCAGCACCCCATTCTTTCAGGATTGGGTGAGATCTCCAGCAAAGAAGTATAGAGAGGTGATAAGAATCCATTTACAGAGGTGGAAGCTGGCATATGTAGACCAATGAAATTGTTAGTATTGAATTCATTTATATCTTCCATTTCTGCTTTCCACAGAAATGTTCCTCTTTCCCCACTTCTCTATGGAAATGATTCTCTCCACATTATGGAAATGGAAATTCATGTTGCTCAGCACCCTGATGGTACTACATCAATTTCAACCCAAGATATGAGGATGTGAGCCAAGGCTACCAGAAATGGGACCTCACTTTGGGAGCAGGACTACTCCCATTTCTAACTCTTTTCTCTTTCTCTGTCCCCACAGTAGGAGGTGGCCTTACAACACAATGTTGTTCAACTTGATGCAAGTTGGAGAAGAGAACATCTCAGGCAAACCTCTGCCTAGAAGTGTTACAGATGGAATTCAGAAGATTCTTTTCCTGAGTGAAGGCGTAGAGGGTCTTAAAATTCCCTCTGAGCTTTCCCATCATTGCCTGAACACTGCAATTCTAACACATCTCAGGTCACAGGGCAGGATGATGGTTTGGACCAGAGGACAAAATGAAACCAACAGCTTTACCTTCGTTTCGACCTCTGGGGCTGGAAATTCACTGGCTCGGGGAAAAAGTAATAGAACAGACGTGATGATCACAGCACCAAGGAATACAAAAATGACAGAGAACCTGGGACCAAAAAGAGAAAGTATTAAAAGCACCGTTTACAGTTTTTTCTTTTATGAGGCCCAGACTGGCCTTTCCTTGGGGTCAATATTCTATGTTTCAGTCCCTTAACAGAGTCCAGAGACCTGCTGTCCACAACCAGCCTCTATCCCAAAGTCTTTCTTCCTAGACAGGTACCAGCTGTATGCATTCCCCTTTATTCTGGGAAATTCCTAACAGCGGGAATTCATAGTTTTCATTTGTGCTTTTGCATGAAGTCATTAAGAAAACACAACAAAGCAGTCCCTCCCCATTCCCACTTAGGATACTTTAGCAAATTCTTAATTCTCTGCTTCCTACTGACACTAAAATGGAGTGTCCAGAGTGGAACTCTATTTTCAGGTTCCGTTAGTAGCCTAACTCTGTTCCAAGTCAATGCCAGGTGCAGAAGGCCAGTTAAATCCACTGAAGGCTTCTTTCATTTCCCTGGGTCCAGGCCTAGAGCCTTAGAGACTGGACCAAGCAAGTGCCATAAATCTGAACAATTAAGAAAAACTCCCACGTTCAACCTCAAGAGATTCAATAGGCAGTGAAAGCAGATTTTCTTGTCATCTCTTGTCTTCCCTGATCTCCTCCATAGTAAGAACTGAAAAATACACTTCCCTTCTCCTCCCACCTCTGCCTCAGAGCATAAATAACACAGTTAGTGCTTATAATAAGAGGTTAAAATGCAACTCATTCAAACTGCCAGTAATTACAAAAATGATCTTCTGAATTCTAAATGTTTAATGAGCGTCAGCGATTTTGCCTCTAATTGCTTTTACCTAGGACTCCCAGCTGGAAAGAATGCCTTACCTAGCTATCCCGGAGGCTCTGGATAACAGCACACACAGCAGCAGCACCAACACCCAGAGCAGGGCTAAGATGAACACGCCAGCACCCACTCCTAGCACCGTGCCAGCCATCCTGGGGAGGAAGACATCATCAGGCTGCACTCTGTCTGGGACCCCTACCCACACCCACTTCTGGCATTTAGACAAATACAGAAAGCCTGACCTCATTATGGGGAAGTTTTTGATGATTGGTGTGTAGGATCACTCACTACAGGTCTTTAATTTTCAAGAATGTCCAGTTCCAGAGTCCCTTAATGGGAACTAGAAATTTAGAACCCAAAGACTTTCTTTATGGCAGAGACTGAGAGATGGCTTTCTGCTCCATGTGTGTAATTTTAAATTTGGTCTCTGAATTCTACTTTAACTTCTTCCCCAAGCCACAGTAGAACACTAAACTCTCCCTTGCTGTAATATCCTAACTAAGGTCTGTTAAAGGCACAAGGGCCTGGGAGTTCCAGGGCCAAAGCAGAAGTTGAACTCTTAGGTTAAAATCATGGGATGAACTTTGACTCACCAGGCGATCACGAGACAGAAATTTCCACTCTACTGTTGAGTGCTTATTTGCAAAAGGAAGAAAATTTCCAGTCCTTAAAGAACAACCACCATCACTACTTCTGAACATTTACTATGTGCTAAGTACTTTACAAATGTATCTCATTTAATCATGGCAATAAGCTTTGGAGGAAGGTATTATATGTCTTATGTCTCAGAAGGAGTCAGTGCAGTATAACTGGAAAGGGGGATGTGCTGTTTTGCTAATTAGTGCCTTACAACAAGAGAAATTCATTCTCTCACTGTTCTTGAGATGAAAAGTAAAAAATAAAGGCATCAATAAGTCCACAATCCTAATAAAGGATTTAGAGGAGGATCCTTCCAGGCCTCTTCCAGCTTCTGGTGGCTCCACATGTTCCTTGGCTTGTGACTCACAACTCTAGTCTCTGTTCCTGTCTTCACGTGGCCTTCTCTGTCTCTTGTCTTCTTCTGGCTACTCATTATAAGGGCATCTTCACTGAACTTCAGGTCCACTCAAGTAGTCTAGTATGATTTTATCATAGCTCCTTAACTTAATTACATCTACAAAAACACTTTAGTCAAATAGGTTCACATTCATATATTTTAGGGGTTAGGCTGCGGACATAACTTTGGGGGGCTACCAATCAACCCACTACAGGTCAACACCATACTACCATACTTGCCCTGATTTTCTTTCCAGTATTAGAGAGTCTTAAGCAACAGATTCTTCCTTAGCTTGCTGGTTTTCTTTACCTGATATTTAAATGTCACAAAAATTTATCTATGAGAGGTTTTATTAAAAAGTTATTGGAAAAGAAGCTCTAAGCATGAACTACTTTTAAAACACAGTAATTCAATCAACATTCATGATGTCCCTACCATGTAAAGCACCATTCTACAAGCTGGGGATGACAAAGGTAGATGAGAAATCTCTCCCAGCAGAAGCTTTAGGTCTACTGGAGAATACCATCACATAAACAACTGCTCATGTTACATTCTGTTAAGCAGCAAAGTGCAACAGGAACTGGGATATTGAGAAGGGTTACAAAGGAGGGACCTTGCACAGGAACTCTCTGGAAAGAATCAGTGAGGCAAGATGAGGAGTAAGGGGACAGGCCTCTCTAACCTCACTGGGGAGCATTATGCCCCTCCCAGGCACCTCATGGATGTTGTCCCAACTACTCCAGCAAGCCAGTGTTTCCCCATCTCTATGTCTTTGTACTTGGCTATTTCTAAAGCCTCAATCCCCAACAATCCCTCTACTATTTGTAGGGCTAGACTCTCTTCATGGTTCCCATCTTGGCTTCTTCAGAGAAGGAATAGCACTTCCTCTGAGAGGTCTTCCCCGACTACCCTGTCTAAAGTAATCTTCCCAAGCAGTGATTTTTCCATCTCCCTAGTTCCTTCAGAGTACTTGTCATTAATTGTAGTTAATTTTTTCTCTATGTGGGGAGGTGCTGGGGATTGAACCCATACTGAGCCACATTCCTGGCCCTTTTTATTTTGAGACAGGGTCTTACTAAGTTGTTGAGGCTGGCTTTGAACTCACAATCTTCCTGTCCCAGCCTCCAGTCACTGGGATTACAGGCATGTACCACTCTACCTGGTTAACTTATTTATTCATTTTCTTACAAGTTTATTTTTTGTCTCTCCAACTAGAATAATAAATTCACGAAGGCAGAAACTTTATCTTTCTCACCTGGTATCCCCAGTTTGTAGCTCAGAGGTTATATGGAGTAAATTTGTTTGATGAATAAATAAAGCAGTGCTAACAAATCTGAAAATCAAGTGAGGGAGTAATAAGGTCATATCAAGGTTTAGAAGGATGACCAGATAACTTCTGGTCCATGCACTGGACAGTACTAACAAAGGGAACAACAGTGAACACGTGGAAATGCTCAATAAGACAGATTAAAAAGAATTTAACAAATATACAAAGCAATGAAGGAAAATCCTTAAGTACCCTAAACAAAAAAATATAACCCAAAGCCTGAGTGGTTAGTGAGGACTGAGCACTGAGACCTACAGGGGTGCTGGCAGCAGATACAGGCCTTCAGAGTGGTCCTGTCCTGGCCAGATGAGATCTCAGGCCCATGATGCAGAGAACTAGAACTAAGAACAATATATCATGCTGGGCCCTCAAAGGGCTTAATGGTTTTTGAAATATGGTCTGAAAAATTGCTAAAGATTTCAAAGAAATCTAGACAAGTGACTCAGGCCACAAGTGAAAAAGACTAGCCCAAAAGAAATCTGAATCCTTACCTGCATTTAAATATAGAGTTTAAGTACAATACCAATGTAGTATGGGAATCTCAGTAGAAAAGATTAACATAAAAACTAGACTAAAAGTAAGGTACCTAAAGGATCCCAGCTGAGATCATCTATTAGGATGCCACCACAGATGTGCATATAAGACTAAAGAGTGGATTTAATGAGGTTTTCAGACATAAAAAGACTGAAATGGAATTCACCTTGTGGGAGGCTGACATAGCATGTAACTAGTGTTTGCTTCCCTTCCTGGTTGGCTGAGGCACTGTCGGTCACCCTGTGATCTGGTTGCTTTTAAGTAAGGGAAGATGGTAGCCCTGATCTTGAGGGTAGAGACAAAGCAAATGTGTCTTCGTGCATGGGCGTGCTTTCCTACAGCCCCATGGGTTGAGCTACGCTCACCTGTTCCTTTGTGATATTACCCCTTGTCTAGTTTGGGATAGAATGTTCCATGAAAATGTCCTTTTGTGTGTCCCCTTCTCTTACTCTTGCCATCACCCCCTTGGGTGTGGCCTTCCTAGATGTCAATCAACCTGCTGACAGCAGACATCATGAAGCTAGACTCGATCCCCTGAAGCCTGACCCCTTGCCTCATTTGAATGGCTTCTCCGCAATAAAAGGGGTCAGCACGCGCTCGCTCGCTCTCTCTATGGACCCTTAAGGTCAGAGGAGCTGTCACAGCACCCCCAAAGAAAAAGGTATTTCTGTCTTGTGTGGTTATTTTGCACAGCCCAGTTCCCCTTAAGTGAACCCTGAGTGTTTTAGTCACATGGATCACGACAGGTAGTGTCCCTGGGTAGGCAGGTTTGAGGGTTTAAGTCGCAGGAATGCGACACACCTCTCACAGATCCTCACTGAAAGAGTTACTTAGGAATGTACTCCAACAAAAAGGAAAATGAACCAAGAAAGATATAAGGAAAAATGGTGAGAAAGACATTAGCAAAAATTGACTATAAATATTCCTGCAATGATAATGACGACTAATTTTCAAGGGGTTAAAAATGAGAAAACTAAAATATTACTCAACAGTTATATGGAAGGTGAGAAAGAATAGTTCAAAGTAAAAGCAGTCAACATATATTACTTGCTCTGAAGGAGGAGTTAATGATTAGTTAAGTTTTACTAAGCAAAAGATAGATATTTGAAGACACATAGGCACATACTAAATAACAGAAAGAGAATGAACAACTTCCACAAGAGTGAAAAAAAAATAATAAAGGAAGAAAACAAGAGGGGGTGATGGCAAGGGGTAAAAAGGAAGGAACATTTAAAAATATAAGATGAAACTGAAAATTACAACAAAAAGCATAGTAAATACAAACTTTTATTAATTATATTAATTATACTTGATTATTAAAGGATTCTCATGCTGGATTAAAAAAAATAAAAACAGCTCTTTATAAAAGCTACACAAAAAGCATAAAGAAAGAGAGGTTCAAAATAAAGAGACTGAAAAGAAACACTAACAAAACAATACTGGGGGAAAGGGGATGGGGAAAATTTTTTTTCATCTTGTAAAATTTAATAGGTGTAGAGTTCTACTTTTACAAGATGAAAAATTTCTGGAGATCTGTTTCATGATAATGTAAATATACTACACTAATGAACTGTACACATAAAAATGGTTAATATGGTAAATTTTATGTTATGTGCTTTAAATCACAATTTGGAAAAACAAGTGAAACAAAAATATAAGTTGGTAAAGCAATATTAGTATCAAGAATATATGTTAAGCTTGAAAAATATTAATAATAATAATAATCACAGGCTGGGTTTGTAGCTCAGTGGTAGAAAGCTTGTCTAGCATATGTGAGGCACTGGGTTCAATTCTCAGCATCATATAAAAAATACAAGTATTGTGTCCATATACAACTAAAAGTATTTTAAAAAAAAAAGAATAATCACAAAAGGAATAATTTGGCAAAAAGACACAACTTGAAATAAATATGAACCTAACATAAGTGACATAAATGACATAAATATGAACCTAACATAAATGACATAACATTACAATAAACAAAGCCACAAATTTAGTGGAAGATTTTAATGTAACTATCTTAGAATCAACAGATCAAGCAGATAAAAAATAAAAATAAACACTTGACAAAAGAGGTTATCCAAATGACCAATATGTGAAAAGCAGTTCAACTTCATTAGTCATCAGGAAATTGCAAATAAAAACCAAAATTCATTACTCCTACATACCTGCAAGAATGGCCGAAATGAAAATGACAGACAACATAAGTGTTAGTAAAGATGTAGATTAATTGGAACCCTCAAACACCGTGGTAAGAGTGTAAATTGTTATAACTGCTTTGGAGACTACTGACAGTATCAATCAAACCTGAAAATTCATGTCCCGCAGATCCAGCTCTTCTATTCCCAGTTGTATTTCTAACAGAGATGCACACAGAAGTTCAAAACCCATGTACAAGAAGTTCATTCCAACCCTATCTGAAATAGCTGAAAAAGGAAACAACCCACATGTCCACCAATACAAAGGATAAATATGTTTCAAAATTCTTTCATACAATGCAATAGAATAAAGCAATAAGAATGAACTTGGATGAATTTCACAAATACTAAGTGTAAAATGACAGAGGCAAAAAAGTTTATACTGTTTGATTCCATTTATATAATGTTCAAAAAAAGTTCAAACTACTTTGGGGGGTTAGAAGTCAAAGAGTATGTTTTCCATTCAGAAAGTAGTGACTGGAGGGAGCTGAAAGAGGTTCTGGAGTGCTGATAAAATTTTGTTTATTGATCTGGGTGTGGGTTACCTGGATTCACTCATTTTGGTAAACTGTACCTAGCTATACATTTAGGATGTGTACACTTTTCTGTATGTGTGTTATACTTCACTGAAAGGTTTCTTTTGAAGAATCTTAAGAGACATATCAATCAAATGCAATATATGGACTCTGTTTGGGTCTTGATTCAAAAAAGCCAGTATAAAAAAGAAAACCTTTTAAAAGATGACTGGAGAAATTTCAACAGTATCTGGATATTTGATGATATTAGGGAATTATGGGTTTTTTTAAGCGAATTAAAAAAAAAAAAAAAGCTATTGGGCTGGGGATGTGGCTCAAGCGGTAGCACGCTTGCCTGGCATGCATGCGGGCCCAGGTTCGATCCTC